AATTTCTTTCTATTTTTAGTAGAGATGGGGTGTCGCTCTTGCTCAGGCTGGTTTTGAACTCCTGAGCTCAAACAATCCTCCAGCCTCGGCCTCCCAGAGTGCTAGGACTCTGTGAACTTCTGAAAATATCAGATCATGTTACTCCCATGTGTAAAATTCTCTAATGGCTTCCGTCTCAGAAGAAATCTCCAACTCCTTGTTTTGACTTACAAAGAGCTGCATAAGCTGACCATTGGCTGTTCTGATCTCATCCTGTACTGCTCTCCACCTGCCCTATTTTGGTGTAGCCACTAAGCTCTTTTCTAGTCCTTGACCAAACAAACTTCTTTCTGTGTCAGGGCCTTTGCACTGCTCTTCCAACTCTGATCCTCACTTGTCTTTGGGGGTTTAGTTCTTAGCTTCAGTTTCACCTCTCTGAGGCCTTGTGTCACCATGCCATCTAAAATCACCCCTTAGTCATTCTTCATCATATCCTTGTTTGTTGGCATTGGATCTATTACTGATATTTTTCTCAGGGGTTTTGTGTATCTTATTTCTTTCAGTAGAGAGTTAGCTCAGTGACAACAGGAACCTTGTCTTTCTTGTTCCCTCCTGTTTCCCTGGTGCTTGACACTCAGTAGGTTTCCAGTATGCATAGAATGGATAAGTATCTAGATGTATGTGGAGAGCAGCTGTGATTTCCTCTCAGGTGAGGAGCATAAAGAGTAATCTAAGTTTCACAGTGATGCAGGTTTGGTCTTATGTGTCTACTGAAGAATATGTCTTGGAACAATCAGATTTCTGAGAACTTTAACTTTTTCTTATTAGAGGATCCTATGTCGTAGCCAGGGGGGTCGGTGTGTGCCTGTCGTTGTAGCTGCTCAGGAAGCTGAGGCAGGGGGATTCCTTGAGCCCAGGAGTTTGAGGCCAGCCTGCGTAACATAGTGAGATTCCATCTCTTAAAAAAATCATACATGAATCTCAGTGGAAAGGGTGATGACCTGCACAGATCATGCAGGATGGATATTGTTCATAGAGGGTGATTGTCGGGGGTAGAGTCTATCCTTTTAGTTGATGTAATTGAGAGCTGGTCTGTAATGGAGAGAAAAGATTAATGCCTGTTCACTGGTTCTAGTAATGCATTAATTTAATATTTTGTCTTATTTAGAGCTGTGCAAGTACAAGGCCACAACTTTTATCCAGAACCTGTAGGGTTAAATGAATTTATGAATTTTTCAGGTTATAGAAATGTACATAGATCATATTTAAATTATATCCCCTTAAGGAATATGTACTCAGACATAATACTTCTGCAGAATGTACGAATATTCTCACTAAGATTAAAGATTAAAGATTCTCACTATAAAGAAACTCAGATATTTAAGGGATTTGGGGGTTTTGGAATTGCAAATAAAGGATTGTGGACCTACGTATGTTCTGTATATTTGAGTTTTTCATTTGCCATTTGCAAATATATTATAACTCCATTAATTGTAAACTATCTTGAGTTATATGATTATATTCCTGGAAAACGTATCAAGAGTAAAATATCTTTTGGTGGCTGGACAAACTAACTCTGATGTGTATATACACAATAGAATACTACTCAGCAATAAAAATGAAGAAACTACTTATGCACATAACAACACAGGTGAATCTCAAAGGCATTTTGCTGAAAGTAACTAGACTCAAAAGGATATATACACCACCACCATAAGAAGGAATGAAATACTGATACATGCAATAACTTGGATGAGCCTTGAAAATGTTATAAAAGAAACCTAACACAAAAGACCACATAGTGTATGATTCCATTTGTACGAAATATCCAGAGTAAGCATATCCATAATGACAGAAAGCAAATTGGTGGTTGCCAGGGGCTGGGGGAATGGGAGATGACTGCTTATAAATGGGTATGGAGTTTCCTTTTGGGGTGATAAAATATTCTCGAATAGAACAAGGTAGTGGTGATGGTTGCATAATATTGTGAATGTACTTAATGCTGCTGAATTGTACACTTTAAAATGGTGCATTTTATGTTATGTGTATTTGATTACAATTCTTAAAAAGGCTACATACCATATGATTCCACTCACACGACATTCTTGCAAAGGCAAAATTTTAGGGATAGAAGATACTGGTTGCCAGGTTATTGGGAGAAGAGTTGACTATAAAGGGGAAGAATGAGGGAATTTTGGGCCATAATGGAATTGTTCTGTATCTTGATTGTGGTAGTGATATATCAATGTTAAATTCACTGTACTTGTTAATTACCATGGTTAATTTTTTTCTTTTTTCTTTTCTTTCTTTTTTTTAATCTTTCCTAGCCACTAGACCACCAGGGATACTGTGGTTATTTTAGAGAACATCCTTAGTCTTAGAAAATTCACACTGAAGTTTTCAGAAGTAAGGGACCATGATGTGTGCCTTTCTCTCATATGGCTTAGAAAAATATTTGATGTATGTGGAAAAGGGAGGAAGAGAGTAATGATAAAGTAGATGGGTCAAAATGTTATCAGTAGTTGAATCTGGGTAAAGGGTATATGAGTATTTTCCCTGTACTATTTATTCTCGCAACTTTTTTGTAACTTGGAAATTATTTCCAATAAAATGTTGCAAAACTGACAAAGCTGATTTTTTTTCTTTTTCCTTGGGGGGTGCCACCCCAAGCTGATTTACTTTTAAATGATCCACAGAAACCCTGTAAGCTGAAGACTATAAATAATAGCTTCTGTTGATAAGTAAACTATAGAGCAGTGGTTCTCAAAGTGGATCATGAACCAGTATCATCATCAATACCTGGGAACTTGTTAGAACTCCACTTTCTCAGGTCCCACTCTGAACCTACTAAATCAGAAACTCTGGGGCCTGGCACTCTGTGCTTTAACAAATCCTTCAGATGATGCTAATGTGCTCTGAGGATGACTGTATTAGATTAACTGATTCTTTTTTTTTTTGTGAGACTGGGTCTCACTCTGTTGCCCGGGCTAGAGTGGAGTGGTGTCATTATAGCTCATTCCAACCTCAAACACCTAGGCTCAAGCAATCCTCCTGCCTTAGGCCTCCCAAAGTGCTAAGATTACAGGCATGAGCCACCATGCCTGGCTAGATTCTTTATTCTAGAACTTTTTGCACAGTTTAAAAGTGATTTAGAGGCCGAACACAGGTGGTGTGAATCTATAGTCCCCAACTACTTGGGAGGCTGAGG